CCTGCTTGCCCAGTTCAGTCTCTGCCCAGCAAGAGGGGTCCCAGCTTGGCTCCTGCTCCACAGCCACTCCCTGATGCCCCTGAGGCTGTTCCTCCTGCCTGACACAGACTCCCCCACCCTGCCCCCGTTCCCCAAAGCCCTTGTAGTCTCCTCAAGCCCCAGCATCACCCCATTGCCCACCTGCACTCCTCACAGTCCCCAGGCACTCACCATCGGCCCAAGCACCAAGCTGCACAATCTGAAGACAGGGGCAGGGGCTGGATTAAGTGTTTCAGGTCTCCACCACTTGCCCAAACCTTCTCTGGAGCCATTTGGCTGCCCAGGATCCCACCATGCTGTGTCCCCACTGGTCCCGTGCTGGAGTCCCAGCTGTCCCAGAAAGCTCCTGACTCAGGGACAAGAATGGGACAGGCGATGACACAGGACCCACAGGGATAGGCAGGGGCCAGGGGTGCCTCTGGGGCACCACCCCGTGCCTCAGTTTCCCCACTGTGACCTGCTGTGCTTGCAGGCTGAGGGTTACGTCATGGCAGGAAGAGTCAGACCCAACCTGCCCCTTCCAGCAGTCCTGATTTCTGACAAGGTCCCCCAGGTCCCTCGGCACCAGGAACCCAGACCCCACCATCCTATCTCCTTTCAAGACTGTTAGCACAGATGGAGTGGGGCACTGGGGAGAGGAGGATGCCCAGGTTGGGGGACCTCATCACCACTGCCCAGGGCAGGACAGTGAGCCAGGCAGGGCTGGAGACATGCCATGATGAAGGATGCCGCACTGCCACCGTCCCTTGTCCCCTGGCAGATGGAACATGGCATGAGCCCCATCACTGGCTGCATCCTCTTGGCTGCTAAGGAAGGATGATGGCAAAGCCTCCCTGGCCGCCATCTTTGGTGGGATTAGGGGACAAGTGGCATTAGGATCCACTGCCTGGCTCCAACCCCCTGGAGCCTCAGCCAGGCATAAATATTTCAGGGGGCTTGGCAGTTTTGTAATAACTGGCAACAAAGATAAACACTGTGAAGAGCAATATTTTTCCATGTGGGCTGGAAGAGTTTAATATTTTATCACTCAGAGCACAAAATATTTATGAACAATTTAATGTCAATCACTGGCTGAGGACTAATCATGACTTTCCCAAGCCAGGGAGGACATGTCCCCATCACGGAGGGACAGCCAGGCCTCACCTGTCCCCAGAACCACCAGCCTAAGTCCTGATTTTGGGCCAACACATCTGACTGCAGGAAACAAGCCCTGGGTTGCCAGAGGCATCAGGGTTCCTTGGGCAGCAGTTGAGCTCTGCCAGCCTGGTGAAGTGCTCTGGCACCTGGCATTGCTGCAGGGAACTGTGAGGGTGATGTCCAGGCTCCTCCTTTGTCTCCAGATGTAGGACAGGGACCTGGGACCAGCCTGGGCAGCCCTCCCTGTCTGCAACCCATGGTGGCAGGACCAGACAGATGGGATGCCAGGGAGGCATTGCACAAGCAGGAAAAGTACAGTGGTGCCAGACCCACCAGCAGCCCAAGACCTGGCTTTACTGGCTTTCCTTTCATCAGGTTCTCAAGAGGAGCAGGGATGCGACCTCCCTCAAGCCCAGCCCAACTCATCACTGGGACCCTTCCCTGCTCACCCTGCAGCTTGCAGAAGCTGGGGACAGTCCCTGTGGCCCCAGGCATGGAGCAAGTGTGAGCATGCCTGCTCATGGGATGCAGGGCCCTTGGGATGCTCCCCAGCTCAGCTGGGGGATGTGGGGTGCAGCCCACCACAGCCTCCACCCACAGCCTGCTCCCCACCACGATGGGCCAAGAGGCAGTCAGCAACGCCACCGGCCACCAGTGAGGAAAAGCATCCACTTTATTACAGACCCCAAAAGCGCCCGTGGCAGTGCCAGGAAGACCAGGTTTACACAGGATATTTCCATTTTTCAGCAAAGGGGAAGAGAAAAGGGGAACAAACCCAACCAATCCTACTCACGGCTCTTTGGTGCTAGAAAACTGGTGTGGCAGTGCGGCAGAGAGAAGCTGTGGGTGAGAGGGGCACCAGCAGAGATGGGGGGGGACAACTCTGCCATCCACCACCACCCCCCGGAGCTCCTGCAAGGAATATGCAACCCATCTAGAGACACACAAACGGCAAATGCATTTCACTGCACCCCCAGCCTGCACCTACCCTGTACCACCAGGTGCTGCAGGAGACCCCTCCCACCTCCCAGTATCCCTGAAACAGCCAAACACCCTTTCTGCAAAGAGGGAGAGCGGGTCTCGGCGGGAATCAGCAACCAAAATCTCTTGGCTGGAGAGGAAGGAGGTGGGAAAGGCAATCGTTTCCCAGTAACTCAGACCCCAGTGGGAAGCAAGGCAGCCAGGTCTCCGCATCACTCTTCTCCTCTCTCAGCAGCAATGGGCTCCTTGGTCCACTTGTCTGTGACCTCCTGGTTGCCCATGTAGCCCGTGTCAGGCAGCAGGCCTGGGGCTCCCTCTCCGTCCACGGTGACCTCCAGGTCCAGCTCCTCAAAGGAGGAGCCACTGGCTCCTGACTCACTGTAGCTGTGCTCGCTGCGGTTGTCTGCCTCCTCCCGGCCACGGCTGGCTGGGAATGGCAGCAGGATGGAGGTGGCCACTGAGGTGTCTCTGCTGTCAGTTGTGGCCTCTATGCTGATGGAGCTCGCCTCACTCAGGGTGTCGGCCCCTGGGATGGAGAAAGAAGGGGAGGGAGTGAATGTTGTTGAAGGATGAGATTGGGATAGGGTGACACACAGCCTTTGAAACCACCAGAAACCTCAAAGACATCAGGTCACAGTGGAGACCAGCTCCCACCTCTTGTTACTTCCTGGGCCTCTGAGAAGTGACCATACTAAGACGAGCAGGAGCTGGACTTGAGCAGCAACCCCTGACCTCCTACAGCAGCCCCACTGCTGCTTTCTGTGCACACATGGAGGACCTGGCAAGCCCTTCCTCAGGGAGAATGCCCAGCCTGGGAGCTGAGGGACAACCCTGCCCCTGTCACAGCAGCAGGAGCAAAGCAAGGAGTGGGATGCTGTGCTGTGAGGGTAATGGGGAGCTGCAGCACTGCTTGAACACCCATGGGGATGGTGGGCACATGGGCAGGTCCTTGGATGTGCTGTCATTAGAGGCCAGTGTACATCCAGCCTCATGCCATGGCATCCTAACGCTGCGTTCAGCAGCCCCTACAACCTACTCCTGCTCCCCGTGTGCTCACCAGCTTCTGCAGCACTGTGGAGGCTGGCAGGACAGCAGCAGGTGGGACTCGGAGGCAGCCTTCCCCGCACCCTCAGCACTTCCCCACATCAGCCAGCTGCCAGCCACAGCCCCTCTCATGGCCAAGACCCTCTGGGGGCTGCCCCTGCCTACCTGGGAAAAGCCCTCAGCCCACTGCCCCATTCCCTGGCTCCCGGCCTTGTTAGCTCCATCGACAACACAATTAAGGAGTTGACAACACGATATGCAAGTCAGATTGAGACCAGCAGCTCGGTGCTGTTGCTAGAGCAACCAGCTGGGAGACAAACCCTCCTGTAAAACATTCACTGTAATGATGACATCACAGATTCACATCACTAATTATGACATCATAGATCCATGTTGTTAATTACGACAGTGGCAGTAAACACTGGGTGGCCTCCTTCATCACAGCCCTCCCCATTCCACCCCGCCTGCCTCGCACCATTGGGAAGCATATGCTGGGCTTCTCTACTTCCGCTGGGGCTTCATCCATGCCAGGCTGGACGTCCCTCCTGAGGATCATGCCCTGAACCAGGAGGGAAATGAGGAGTGCTGGTTGGCAGCAGCACTGGTGGAGGACCTCAGCTTGCCACCACTGGGGTCAGGAGGTGGCAAAGAGGATGGTCATGACCGAAGTGAGACAGGAGAGGTGATTCCTCCCAGGAGAGGTGATTCCTCCACAGGGGCTCCTGCCAGCATGGCTCCATCCCCAGACACTGGCACAGGGCTCCTTGCAGACATCTCCATCTCTAGGAGAAGACCCACCAGGGAGGGACCTTTCCTTCCAAACACCCTTAAATCCCTTTTCTTGCTGTTTTTCTTCCTGGCCTGGGCAGCTGCCAGCAGAACTGCTGGTAAATGGCAGTCTTCTGAGTGGCACCATCCCACAGTCCTGCTGGCTGAGTGACAGCCATTTGGAGAGGACTGAGCAGTGGTAGCAGGACAAGGAGCAGCTGGGAAAGACCCACAGACTCAGCATACTCACTGCTTCATCCTGCCTGGATGGCCTATCAGCTTTATCCCACCTGGTGAACACCCTGAGGGGAGCACCCTCTCCTTGGCCATGGCATGCAACCCCTTCAGCAGCTGGCACAAGCCAAGTCCAGGGCCACCCACCCAAGTGACGCCTGGTGACCCCCCCCAAAAAAGGAGAAAAGACCCATCACCCGCTGATATGCACCACCTTTGCTGCAGCATCAGGGAGCATCTTGACATGGAAACTACATTTACTCTAAGTTAAAAAGGATGTTCTGCACACTGCTGGCAAAGTACTTGCTGAAAGGGATGGTGGCCACTGGATGGGTGGCAGAGAAGTGGGAGATGCTGCCCCACCCAGCAGGACCTCGGCAGGGCAGTGGGTCAGCAGGGAGCCTCTGGGAAGGCAGAGAGCTGCAGGGGATAGAGGGGAGCATGTGGTACCCAAGCCTTGAAGCCAACTAAAGGTTTGCAAGGTGCCTAGCAGTGATCTCAAAAAAGAAAAAAAAAAAAAAGATCAAATTTGGCCAAATTGGTGGCCTGAGGTGGCACAGGCACATTTCCACCATGGCTTCATGACAGCTCACATCATTCACGGTCATCTTGCGAACCTCTGAAACCTGGGAGAAGAGTAACTCTGACCAGCCAAGCTCTACCCTGCCTGTCCATCACCCTCCCTTGTCACCCTGGGGACCACTTCAGCTGGGAAGCTGTCACATAACCCCATGACACAAAGCAAAGATGCTCCTGAGAGGAGCAGCAGCAGCTCAGGAAGCAAAAGACAGGGATGGAGCTGACCTGCACACTGCTTTGATCTACCACTGCAGAAAAGCACTACTGTACTCACCACTGCAGCCACCTCCCTCTCCCTTGCTCCAAGGGCGACGATAAATCGAGTCCTGTTTCCTTTCAGCCAGCACTTTTTCACTGCTCTGTCACTTCTGATCGTGTTCGAGCAGCCTCAGCTGGCAAATGTGCCCATTTCAGCAGCCTCACTCTCCTCCATGCAGGACAAGGCTGGCTCTAGCACAGCCACCCAGCCTGGCCAAGAATAATGGTGGGGCTCCAAGAAGGCAACCAGAGCTTCACTGGAAGGTGCCTTGTGGATAAGCAAGGGTTCAGCTCTCATGTCCTGGGCACAGAGATTTCCAGCAGCCATTGCACCCACTTCTCCATCCTGCTCCAGGCACCTTGCTTGGTCCACCAGCAAGCTGCTGCCCACCCCCTGCATCCCTCTTCCTAAGGCTGGGCCTTGCACCAGGAGCCAGCCCAGCACCCAGATCCAGTGTGGCTCTCCCCTTTGGTGTGCAGTGAGGTGCCAGCATCCTGTGGAACCCCCTCCCTGCTCTGCTCTCCCAAAGACAGTGTAGCCATCCCACTTCACCTTCACTCAGCAGGAGTGTGGAACCTGGAAAGTTTTAATTGGGAAAAAGAGGCACGGCCTGAGATGTGGTCCTGCAGAGGTGTTGAGGAGCCTCTCAAAGGCCAGGACCTCCTAGGAAGAAGAGAAGCCAAGCAACCAACACCAAAAGAGCAGCCATGGGTGGGTGCAACAAGAATCACTCACCCCATGCTGCTAACAAGCCAGGCAGGGAGCTGGCCCCTGTAAGCAGCTCAGCCCTGTGGCATCCCAGGTACAGGCATCCCTGGATCCCCCTGGGAAGGAGGACTGCATTGTCCCAGCATGATGGCGATGCCCAAGCGTCACTACCCTCTTGGTGCACAGGCTCTTTCTTACCCCCTGTTCAATCAAATATTAATCTCCTCTGCCACTAAATAATAGATCAGTGTGCTGCCAGGAGGGGAACAGCTCCTCTGTGCTTGCTGAATCTCACACATAAGCCATCAGGAGAGGGGCTGGGGCAGGCACAGAAGCAGGAAGGCACAGCAGGAGCTTCATACTGAGCCCCTCCTCGGGATGTACAGGCAAGCAGAACAGGCAGGGCTTTTCGGAGGACAGAAGTGGGGATGAGACAGAGCACATCAGGGAAGATGTCCCCCATGGCACTGGGACTCAGTGGGTGATGCCACTGGTTGCACCCAAACGCTGCTGGACAGACTCAGCTCCAGGAAAATGAGCACCTGAGACTGTAGGCAGAGCCATGTGCTTAGAAACCATCTGTGTTCATGCCAGCAAGCCCGTGTTGAGAGGCTGCTTTTGTTTGCTTTCACCTTCCATGCACTGCAGTGGGGTCATTCTGGAGAGCAGAGTCCTAAGCATGAGCCGGGAGTGAGGGTGTGCTGAGCCTGTGCTGGTGCCAGAGCCCCAGAAAATAATTAAGTACAAAACAACTAATCATGATTGACACTGCCCCCCTGGAGACCCATCAGCTGCCTTCCAAAAATGCTTCCCGTCTTCCTGATGAATCTGATGATGGCAAAGAAGGGATGGAATTGGCACGGAGGCAGCTGCAGCCCCTGGCCCTTTCCTTGTGTGCTGAGTGTTTCTGTCCTCAGTGGAGCTGCCAGCACCCTACTCTGTGCACGGCAGAAAGGAGAGATCCTGGACCATGTCCTGCAGCCTTTGTGGCCACTGGCTTTGCTCAGAGCCACAGGCACCCACACCTCAGAGAGTAAGCTCAGGAGCAAGGACAGCAGGTGACAGCCAGAATGCAGAGATGCACTCCAAGGTCAGGAGGCTCAAGAAAACAAATCCAAGCCTTCCTTATACATCCGATATAGGTACAGTTTGGCACCAGCCACAACGACAGGCAAGGAGAAACAGCAGTGCCTTCCACCGAGAACCCCTGAAGTCTTTCTTTCAAGGAAATCATAATACAGCTGCTGGCAGGGAGTTTCGTGAGCCATGACTGAAAAGTACTGTGTCCACACAGAGCACTGCTAAATACGATGATCACTCTGAAATAATACACCCAGTGCTGCCTTTTTTCAGTATTTGGAGTGGTGGTAGGGGAAAAGCTGGCTTCAGCTGCTGCTACATCAGCAGTGAGGGCCTAAGGCTGCTGTGTGTAAAGCATCCTCAGCTGCCTCTGGGAGAGTAAAGGGGTTCGGCACCTCCCCAGTCCTTTCATTTGCCCTGCAAGGCAGCAGGGAGTCAGAGCCTCGTGTCTGGATTTGCAGAGATCAGGCATGGCCAGAGGAGCTGAGTGCCACAGCAGGGACCACTCCCCCTTCCCAGGAGCATCCTAGCACTGCTTGACCCTCTGTCAGGGCAGGACCACTTTAAACACTGGCAGAGCTGAGGTGGATCAAGAAATAACCCAAATCCTGCAATTGGAGTTGACGGGGGACCGCACTGAGAAGCAGATGGGGACATTGCAGTGCCCACCCTCCATCTGATGGAGGAAACTTGGAAGCTGTCACAGACACCCTGGGATCTGCTGGGTCATGAAGATCTTATGGCTATTATGCTGTGGCTAAGCAGAGCTTGTTCCTTGAGTAAGCAAATAAGAGACTAAAAAAGTTGGGAAAAGAGATTGTGGCATTCTCTTCCTCCAACTCAGAAATGCTTGCACAGATCCCAGCACAAAAAATATATAAGAAGGGAGGACCAGTCTCAATCCATAAGGCATCATCTTCAAGGCTTCTCCTTCAAGGTGTCTCCAGCAAGCAGCTGGGCAGGGGGGATCCACCGGCTGCCCCCTCCAGCGGGTTCTCCTCTTGCACCAGGGCTCAGAAAACCCACACAGGACTTTGGTGGCAAGATGGAGAGCTGTACTCTCCCACCTCACCTCCTGACTTTGACCCTGCTGCTTAACCAGGACAGTCCAGCGATCACTCGATCGCTGAGGCTGGGGCAGCACCACTGGCAACTGAGTCCCCAGCATCAGCAGGCCAGCAGCAGTGGGACAAGGACACTCACTGGACACCGTTTCCCTTTGTGCAAGCCCAGGACCTCCCCACGCAGTGCCACTCTCCCCAGCTGACAGCAGTTGTGCCAGCCTGGGGCACTGCAACATCATGGGGACACAGGAGATCGTGGAGACCCCGAAGACCCTCAGGCAGGAGTGGCACAAGCAACCTGAAGGCTTGCTGCGTCCTTGGCCGTCTCCAATGGCTGGAGCAAGGACCCGGTTCTGTTGCTATGCCCAGTACGAACTGTGATCACAGTGCAATATCCAAGCTCAACTCTTCAGTCTCAGAGGCAAGGCCAACCTCCCACAGCTATTATTATTTTAAGCTGGTTTTGTGCAGACTCAGCAGATGACACTGCATCATACTGCACTGACAAAAGCTCATCTATGTAACTGGGAGGGATGGTGGAGGAACTGGCCCAGAGCTGCTGCTGGGGAGCCCAGCCCAGGGTCTCCCACATGAGAAAGTCCACTATCATTTGCTGTCTAAACCTGGGAAGACCTTCCTCACCCCTCTTCCAGCAGGGCAGGGCACTCCCCCACCATGGGCATGCTGGCAGTGGCATCCCAGGGAAAGGCTGACAAAAAGGTAAAGAGCTGAGCGAGCACCATGAAAACACGGGACCTCAAAGTGCTGGGAAACTGCTCCAATTAAGACTCTTCATTGCAGCACTAAATGGACTCCAGAGCTCCCAGAAAGCAACTCCCAGACTTGCTTTTACGCTGCACATGATTAAGAATTAAAGCAACCCAAACCTGAAGATGTGCTAAAACAAATGACCAAACTCCCCAGGAGGCAGGGAGAGCTGGCACATTTTTTGCATGCCTGTTACACAAGCGTGGGTGACCGGTGGGGCAGGAGGAGGTGTCTGCCCCCACCCCATTCCAGGGCCTGGGAACATTCGGCTAGCCGGCTCCCGCATCTCTCAGACATGTGAGCACGTGGGCTGGTGACAGCAACTAGCATTTTGGGTTACTATAGCACTGCTGTTCTGCGCCTACAGCCATTGTGGTCCCTTCCTGTATGAATACATCCAGACTCCAACAGATCTCGCTGAGCAGATGCTATCGGGCAACTCCACCACCAGCTACAGCAACCTGGTATTTAAGCTCTTTGCAATCCCAATATGTAACAGATGAAGATGAGATCAAGGAAGATGTATGTGACAAGGAGAAAAACAAGCCCAGCTGCAACCAAAAGCTGTGAGATCCAGGTCTGCTCTGACAACAGTGGGCCATCAGCTTGCTGCAGCTTGGCCTTCACCTGATGGGGTGAATGGGTGCCCAGGTACTCCCCAAGGTGGTGTAACACCTTAGGGACAAGATCCTATGTCAGCCTGGGGTGAGGAAAGAGGTGTGCTGAGACTCAGCGGTTGGGTGCCAGGTTGACCCCTCTCTGCCCAGCCAGGCAGTAGCACCAGGAACACCAGAACCCCCACCTTTGGAAGGGCTGACACTGATCCAAGACAGAGCCCATGTGCAAGCTACAGGTACCTGTGATGTCTGTCTGGGCATCCTCGGCCTCAGCTGCAGCAGCCCTGCTCTTCCTTTCCAGTTCTTTCATTTCAGGCACGTAGAAGTCCCCTTGGCGGGCGAGGGGACACACAAAGTAGATGCGGTCCTCCTTGTAGATCTCGATTCGAGGGTGGGCGCACAGCTTCCTCTCCTGAAAGACAGCAGGGTCAGGGATGTGCCCTCACTCCCCATCCCAGCAGCCCCCCACCACATGGACCTGCTGGCCTAGCAGCACCACAGACTGATCCAATTAACTATGGACATGGGGGCCCAGGGAGGAGCAGTGAGTCCCATCCTGAAACTGCAGTGCTCCTTTCACTGTCACAACCCCGATGTTCAGCCCTGGGGGTGAACAACCAGCTGGGCTCAAGAAGGAGATGCCGAAG